GGCGCTCCCGAAGAGCGCGCCGCCGCGATGCAGAGGCGCGGGGCGGCCCCGGGACCGCTCGGCCACAGCGGCCGGTCCTCGAGAGGCGCAGCGGTCCTCCGTGTCTCCTTTGGCTGCGCGCTTGGACTGTTCAGCGGGACGCAAAGGCAGAAACAAAAATCGGGAGGGTCTGATTCGGAAACGGAGGCTCTGGCTTGGTGAAAAAGGTTTTGGGAGCGTGGCTGACTGCAGACTCAGTCCCCGTGAGCAGTGTAGTCTGTGCAGAAAAGCCAAGTGCAGTTTTAAGTTGAATCGAGAGGCATGATTTCTAGATCCCGGGAAGGAACCGTGGGTTTTTTCTGCACAGGAACTCAGGTCAGTGTTGTGTCCTCTTTGGGGCACTGCATTTTAAGTAGTTAAATAGGAACAGGTTCACAGAAGGACAGTGAGGATGGTCAGAGGCTTGGAAACTAAAATTTGTGAGCAAAAAGGAACTAAATATGTTTAGCTTTGAGAAAAAAATGAGGATGGGAAGGGGGAATATGTCCTTTTCAAATATCTGAAGAGGGCAAGACATGGGTGGTAGGCCTTACGTGCCAGGAAGGCAGATTCTGGATTAGTGTTAGGCGAGCCTTCCTGAGAGTAGAACCAGGGGCCCGGCGGGGTGCTGGGTGTGTGGGGGCAGAGGCTAGATGGCCACAGGTCTGGGATGCTTTGATTGGGGTTTCTGCACTTGGCAGGGGATGGACTCAAGGGCCTTTCCAACTATGGGATTTGTAAGATCAGCTCATTGGCATATGAGTGGCAGACTGATCAAAGAAAGTGAAGGCCAGGAATAGACTCCTTTGATCCAGAAGCAGGAGGCCAGGGCTACCTGAGGCTGATACATCTTAAAAGGGGGCAAGTATGAAGCCTGAAATGGGCACTCTGGTTTGATGGAAGCTTCCAAAACAGTCCCTTTGATGCGGTCCTGTTTCCAGGCGCTGGGTTGGTGCCTCTGCCAAGGTGGCCAGTTCACTCGCCAACTCCAGACTACAGGGGCGTCTGAGGTGCCCCAACGAGGGGACCGTTCTCGCAACTGATTGCAGAGGGTTGCCAAAGTAGAGCCCCTTCAGGCAGCCCTGCCAGAAAGGGGCTGATTACGGTGGCCTGTGAGCAAAACTCTTGGCGTAATCCTAAAAGCAAACCTATGGGGTGCCAACAGGGACTCACCTGGTGTAAATCCCCTGCTGATAGAACATGAAGTCATCTTTCACTTCAAAGGCAAAGCTCACCGGGTTGTACATCCCCACTGCTTCCACCATGCCTTGCTCATCATACTGGAAAAAAAGAGAGGCCCAGGCCTTACCAGGAAGACATGATCTAGCTGGCCCCTGCTCAGGAGGTAGAGAAAGAGGCTGGCAAGGCCCTCTGAGCATGTGCCAAAGAGGGGCTGCAGCTTCCCATCAGATTTTCAGCCCCGTGTAGGTCTGTACCAAGAAGCAAGCCGTTCTGAAGTATTTTAAGCTTAAAAAGAGCGGTCAAGGAAGACTGCAGAGGGGACCCTGGGCATTCAGGTTGTCAACTGCAAGGGCTTTAGGCTGCTGATTGGCATCTCTAGGGAAAGTGCCACGAGGCAGGTCGCTTACCAGTGAAATGTTGACCACATTTTGGATGAATGCAACAGCCTTCTGGGGCTGGAATTTGCAGGTGCCATTCTGCGCATAACAAAAGAAGCCCTGTTAGAGGTGGCTTAGCAAAAGAGGCAACTGCCCCCCCCCCCACTTTGGATCAGAGCCCCTTACCTTGGCCCGATAAGGGTACGCCTCTTCATCCATGAGCCCTTTGTTGTACAGGATATATTCAAAAGCCTGGCTGGGGAGCCCCCTGGGGAGGGAAAGGAAAGGTCTCACCCAAATAGCAGACTTTTCCAGGGAAAGGGAAAGGCCCAGGCTGCCTGGGGTGGGGAGAGGTGAGAGCTAAGGTGGAACCAGGGTGATTGGGGGGGAGCCCCTTCCTGAAGGCTTTGCTTACCCACTACACCCATGGTTGTTGAAGTTTTGAGCACAGTCAACCAGTTGCTGCTCCGCCTGAGTGAGGAGATGTTGAATCGAGATTCAGCCAACTCATGCCTTGCTGGTAATGCCCATGCCTCCCTCTTTCCCAGGTGCATGGTGAGGCTGGGGGGCCTTTGGAGATGAGGGGCCTCCCCAGGGGTTCTCTGCCACTGTCCTTAAGTGGCCTCTGCAGGGGCCAAGGCTGCCCAGGGCCTGGATCTCTCCAGGGCAGAGGAGCCAGACCATAGCCTCTTCCAACCCTGGTCATCTTAGGGGCAATCTGAAACCCAGCATGGGAGCCTTCCATATACAGTGGGCCCTCTGGGCTGGTAGGAACCAGGCCGCTCCACAAGAGCTCTGCTTTGCCCTTGCTACTCAGCTGCTGTCCACCAGCAGAGAGGTTCTTGCCAGCTGGCCCTGGGACTGCACAGAAGGCACCCTACCCTCCAGCCTTGGCAGAAGAGGGCTGCTTTTTCCCAGCCAGGGGTTTGGCCTAGACATGCCTGAAGTTAGCTGGTCCAGTGCAGGACTACTGCCCCTGCCCTTCTGGGTAGGCCCAGTGAGGGAGGTGGGGGTGCAGGGAGCAGCGTCTCCAGGGGGGTAGGTTGTCCAGCGCCAAGTGTGTTCTGCTGAACTGTGAGTGATGCGCTGAGATTGGAGGGTTCCCCAGGAAGACCCACACTGTGGGTGTGCTGTTGAAATCACCTATGCTTGTATTTGCACAACATGCTAATTGGTGTAGTTTTGAGTTCATGCAATATATTAAACCTTCTACCAAACGGTCCTCATTTATCTTAAGGCATACTTCAAAGAAGAATGGAGCTGGAAAGAACAGCCTCACCAAATTCAGGAGTTTCCCAGTTTTTATGGCAATGGCTGACTCCAAGCAGCCAGTGGTGGAAAATGTCCAGCAGCTGCCACAGGGACCCTGGTTGGGGGGGGGGGGCAGAAGAAAGGAGTCAGAAGACCACATTCCCAGAAGGAACCCCTCCTTCTTTAAACCCCAATAGCCACTCAGAGTCACTTGTTGAAGTGGGTGGCTATATAAACTGACTCAGTGAATGAATGAATGAAATTGTCCCCTGAGCACGTTACCTGGTCTTTCACAGGGCTCACATACTTCCCTTTCTTCCTCCAGTCAATGGCGCTTGGATAGGATCCAGCACTCCTTGCAAAGTTGCCTTTGGTAGCAGAGCAATTCTGGAGGCAAGCAGGGGAGCCATCACTGCACCAGCAGAAGAATGAACACACACACCCTGGTGCCTGGCTGGCACCTTGGGCCTGCTTTGCCAGGTGAAGGGAGGGGCAGGCTCTGAAGCAGCTCTGGGTGGATTGGGTCCGTGGCCCAAAGCACCCAGCCTCACTTCTCACAGTTGGGGCAAAATAAAGGAGGGGGGGGGCCCTCAGGAAGAGGTCCTGAGGTGGGGGCCTAATTTCCTCAAGGCAGTCCTCCATATTGTAATGGGTCACCCTGGATGTGGGTTTTTGTGAGGCATACCCATAGAAGTATCTATACCAGAACAAGAAAAATGGAATTCTGGCTTCTCTTGTGGGAGGGCCCTGCGTTTAATATTTACAGAAAGTCATGTGAACAACACAGTAAAGGGATGGGGGTAGGTTGGCTGTGCTGGGATTTTGGAGAAAAGCCTTCCCTTTGCGCTGCAACATTGAAATTTGGGTTTTTTCTTTCACTTTCCTTGTAGCGTGTTAGCCCAAAAGTAGCCCAACAGTCAACGGGAAGATACCCTCTAGCAGACTGTGGCCCGGACTGCAGTCGGACTGAGAAAGCACCTGCTTAGTTTTGTGCCCCTCCTGATGCCCTTGGACGCCCAGGTGACTTTACCTGGGGTTCTTGCCAGAGATACTTCTTCCTGAACTCGGGGAAGGTCATGTCTGAGAACCGGTTCAAGCCCACTGGAGAGAGAGGAGAGGGGAGTCAAGACCGGTGCCACCCTCTGGCTGGCCAACGAGAGAGAGAGAGAGAGGGAGGGAGGGTGCGCGGAGCCCCGCCAAAGCGGCGCCCTACTTCGGAAGGTGTGGTTGCCAGCGTTGTGCTTGTCAATCTGCTGCTTGTTGCGAAGGAAGATCTGGAACCGGCGCTGGAACTCCTCCTCCGAGGGGTACACCTGCCGGTGCTGCAGCGCCCAACAGAGAGAGAAAGCGAGCGAGCAAGCCAGCGGCGCTGCGGCCGAGCAGAAGTGAAACTTCCCGGGGCCGCTTCCGCCTCGCGCCCCGCCCCCC